AGGAAGGAAGGAAGGAAGGAAGGAAGGAAGGAAGGAAGGAAGGAAGGGGAAAAAGAAAGAAAATATAAGCAAATTGGCTGTTTTTTAAATATTATTTTTATTTCACCTAGATCCAAAAGGGATTTGAAATGACTTGCAAAGATACACAAGTAAAACTTCACACTCTTTAGGATGGCTCCTATCAATAACAACAACAAAAAGAAAGACAATGACAAGTGTTAATGAGGACGTGGAAAAACTGGCACCCTTCTGCACTTTTGGTGGGAATGTAAACTGGTAAAATAGCTTTGAAAAACAGAATGGTGGTTCCTCAAAAGAATTAAAAATAGGATTACCATATAATCCAGTAATTCCATTTCAGGGTATATACGCAAAAGATTGAAGGCAGAAGCAAGATATCAGGTGATATTTGTATACCCAGGTTCATGGCAGCGTTATTCATAATAGCTAAAAGGTGGAAGCAACCCAAAGGACCTTCAACAGATGGTGGATAAGCAAAATGTGGTACCCACACAATGGAATAATCTTCAGCCTTAAAAAGGAAAGAAATTTTGCAATATGCTACCACATAGATGAACCTTGAGGATATTATGCTAAACGAAATAAACATGTTACAAAAAAACAAATATTGTATAATTTCACTTATTTGAGGAAGTTAAAATAGTCAGAATCATAGAGACAGAAAGCCGAATGGTGATTGCCAGAAGCTGGGGGTGGGAGGGATGGAGAGTTATTGTTTAAAGGGTATAATGTTTCAGTTTTGTAACATGATAAGTTCCTGAGAGGTTTTGGTGGTAATGGTTGCATAATATGATTGTGCTTAATAGTACTGAGCTGTGCAGCTAAAATGGTTAAGATAGTAAAACATATGTTGTATTTTACTGCAATTTCTAAAACTGGAAGAAAAAACCTCAGCAATACAAATATTAACATTGACAACAAGAACACTGAATGCAGTTTAAGATTTCTTAATGGAGTTTGTCCCTAAAGTATACAGCAATATTGTCAAAATACTGTGATTTAAGAGCTCTTTAAACATTTCTTCTCTGAAGAGTTACACCAAAAACCTGGTACCAGGTTGTTTACAATTTTTAGAAATTGTTTTATCTTTATCATTTTTATTTAATTTGGTCTTTCAGTTATATAAAACATTTAATGGGTCTTAAGTATAAACCACAAAACAGGTACTTCAGAGAAGTATAACTTTCAATCTTGTTCCTGTTTCCTTCCTACCCTTATAAAGTGACATTTTTTAAAAGATTTTATATTTATTCATTTGAGAGAGAGAGAGAGCATGAGCAGGAGTGGGGGGATGGGGGGACAGAGGGAGAGGAGGAAGCAGACTCCCTGCTGAGCAGGGAGCCCAATGTGGGGCTCCATCCCAGGACTCTGGGATCATGACCTGAGCCGAAGGCAGACCATTAACCAACTGAGCCACCCAGCACCCCTGTAAATTGACATTTTTTGTTCACTTCTTCTTATGTATCTTCCCATTCTTTCTTTTCAAAAATACTAGAAAATGCATATATCTTTCCTATTTCACCCACTTTCTTAACAAAAGGTTGTACACTATAAATATTGTTCCACACCTTGGGTTTTTTGTTTGTTTGTTTTTCAGAATAATAGTGTATCTTGGAGATCATTCCATAGCTGTGTACTGAGATCCTCCTTGTTCCTTTTCACAGTTGCATAATCCACCATTATGGGGATTGTGATTGGCACAATTCTACGGATGATCTCCCCCAAGGCCCTCCCCCTCCCACCCCAGTTGTGCAAACACTAATCTGGGACCCACTGGGAAAGGAATTTGAAGATGTAATTAAATCCCAATTCAATTAGCCTTAAAATATGTAGATTATCCAGGTGAGCCTAATTTCATCAGGTAAAACCATTAAAAGTACCACATTTTTTCTCTGCTGATGGCAGAAGGAAATCAAAGACATTTGAAGCATGAGGGGGATTCAGGGCATGAAAGGCGTTGCTGCTGAACTCCAGATAGAAGGCAAACAGCCACACTGTGAACTGCTGGTGCAGAGGGACAGCCTCTAGAGGCTGAGAGCAAGCCACATTTAAGAACCAGTAAGAAAATAAGGACCTCAGTCCCACAGGTGCAAGGAAGTGAATTCTGCTAACAACCAGTGAGCTTGGAAGAGAACCCCAGGCCCCAGCTGCGTATTGCGGTACGAGCCCACACCTTGATATCAAATCTGAGACGTGAGCAGAGGATCTAGCTACATGGCACCCAGACTCCTGACTCATGGAAAATGTCACATTAATAAATTTGTGTTGTCCTTTTAAAAAGCAAAACATGAGTAAATGATTTTATTGTTTTTAATTTTATATTTTGAGGAGTAAATGATTTTAAAAGACAGAGGACCACCCTCATCCCCCCAAGGCCAGAACGATAACATGAGGTGAGTTGAAAATTTATACAAATAAAGTCATGCTCTAAGAATCTATTTAGTACTAAAGAAGAGTTGCATATGTGATTCTGAGTTTCCTAGTGGTTAAAGCTACTAAGGAAACATGATTGAGTTACAAGCAGTAATTTTTCTAAGAAATACACGGAAGCACAGCAGAGAGGTTGAAGCGAACTTTCCTCCTCATAGATCCACATAAAGGGCACAGTAAGCATTATAGTGGACTTTGTCATTATATATATATATGATATATATACACTAGAAAATGCATATATCTTTCCTATTTCACTCTCTTCCTTACACAAAAGGTTGTACACTATAAATATTGTTCCACGCCTTGGTTGGTTTTTCTGTTGCCTTTGTTTTTGTTTTTTTCAGAATAACAGTATATCTTGGAGATCATTCCATAGCTGTGTACTGAGATCCTCCTTGTTCCTTTTCACAGCTGCAGTCCACCATTATAGGGATTAGGGTGTGTATACATATATATATACACATACACATATATATATAGTAAGTATATGGTAAGTATAGTATATGGTAATTATAGTATATGGTATACACACACACACACACACACACACACACACACACACTAAGGCTATTTTTATAGTATCTATTTGTATAAGCAGAGGACACAACTCCAAAGCAGACTTTTAAGAAAGTGAATACAATAGGAAGTTAAACGACATAAGCAAAAATTCAGACACAAGAATGAGTCTTTGTATATCTGAAACAATGAAGAAATAAACCTGATTACCGGAAAATTGGGATGATGCTGGATTATAGCAGGATTTAAGGCCAGATGCAGGCATTAAATAAGGAGTCACTTTAACCAGAAGTCATAAGAAAAAAGCTGCACTTAAAAACAAATAGTCTAGGGCGCCTGGGTGGCTCAGATGGTTAAGTGTCTGCCTTCGGCTCAGGTCATGATCCCAGGGTCCTGGGATCGAGTTCCGCGTCGGGCTCCCTGCTCCTTGGGAGCCCTCTTCTCCCTCTGCCTCTCTCTCTCTCTGTCTTTCATGAATAAATAAATAAAATCTTAAAAAAAATAGTCTAGCAATGATATCAGGATGGGTTGTCTGATTTGTCTAAGCCCTTCTCGCACTACACACTCATCATATGCAATCTTGGAAAGGAAAAGCTCTCTTAGATTACCAATATGGGGGTCAGCCCAAATCCCAGCTATATTCTTGGCAACCAGCATCATAGAGCAATCCACAGAGGTTCAATATTTGTGGACAGTTCTGTCAATTTCATAGGAAAAGGCTTATATTTTTTCCTACACATTGTTATTTCAGCAAAAATCATGTTTTTACATCTATTTCATCAATGACAAAGATCATTAACATATAATGGGAGTTGACATTCAGAGTTCTCAAAACCTTCCAATTTTTCTTACT